CACTCTTCATACTCACTCTTGTCCTCTTGGCCAAGTCAGTTTCTGAAACTCCCTCTGCAGACTTGGATCCAGGACGAATCACTGGAGAAAGTTCAAGAAGTAACAGGTTAAATCAGGTGCACATATGCGCTTCACTGCTATTAGCTAACCCAATTTAAGCTCTGTTATTGGTCAGCTGACTGGCAGAATTTTGAGTCTGGCTTTACTCACAGCCCTCTCTGGCGAGGTAAAGGTTCCTGGAGCCTGTGTGAGTTTTCACTTTCTTGTCCTTGAATTTGGTAGCGTCTTCTCTGTTTACTGCAGGCAAAACGTTCAATCTCCTGCCATCAACCCTAATGCCACCAAACTGAAATGCACATATGCATCAGCACAATAATCTTGTGTTTACTGCCTGGTATAATGCAGTGTAATTCTTACAACAGCTGCAGGACAACGAACTCACCTCTTTTTCATCTTCAGCAGCAGCAGCGATACATTTGTCTGCCGCTTCTTTACTTTTGAACTGAGCAAAAGCACAACCTAAACACAGACAGACATGGAAAAAAAAGAGAGACTTACTTTAAAGAAAGAACTCTGATTCCATACAGGCCGGGGTTTTGATGACTGAAGCTACCTTTTGAATATCCTGTGTCTACGCTCATCACCACACGAACGTATTTTAGCTCACCAAACTGCAACAACACTTCTTCCAAACCCTCTTCATCTGTGTCAAAGGCCAGATTTCTAACAGGACCCAAATTGAAGATATGTCAATAAAAATATGAATTCCTACATACAAAAACGTCTGTTATTGATTATAAATACAACAAGAGAAGTTCCTTATATGATTATCACCTGATGAAGATGGTTCTTCCCTCATTCACATCTGAAGGAAGAGGGTCTCTCTTCTTCTTTGGAGGAGCTGAAGGAGGAGATTTATAGAGAGTCATTTAAAGACACAAAAAAAAGTTAAAAGGTAATAAAGGTAAAAGGTAATAAAGGTAAAATAAGGTAATAAAATTTTCTAAAACAGAAAATATAATTTAATTCTGAATATATATATATAAACTACAATTTCAATTATACTAAAACAACACGATATAGTATACAGGTCATCCTAAAATAACACTGCTGTAAATAAATAATAGTTACTTTTTCCCTCAGCGTCGTCGGAGTCATCATCATCATCATCATCGTCTTCAGGTTCACTGGCATCACTGTCTGTCTGCTGAGATTCAGAGTCATTTTCGGCATTATCTGCTTCACTACTATTGGCTTCATCATCATCATCATCCTCGGACGCCTCTTCTTCTTCTGACTCAGAGTCATCCTTTGTTTCCTGTAATGTGGGCCTTCACACAAGACAGACCTTATGTTCAATTCACTGAAATCATCTTCACACACTTTAGATTTGTTGCACTTCCTGTACTTACTTTTTCTTGGCCTCTTTTTCTTTCCCATCAGCTCCTGCACCTTTAGAATTCACATTCTCTTCTTTGATGGTTCCTACAAGATATCCAGATACACTTCACTACAAAACCTAGAGGGTAGATGCACCTTCAAAGCTTTTTACAACTACATCCACATAAATAAATGATGCTGATGGAGTTTAAATGAAAATGCACATTACCAGCTGCTCCCGCTGATTGGTTGGCGAGATACTTGTCTTTTGCAATGGCCCAGTCCACAGCCACCTGTCTGTCTGTGAGAAAGGATTTAATAGCATTTTATCATACTAAAAGTGAAACTAGAAGTGTCAGTATACACACACCTAGTCAAAAGTTTGGAATGATTACGATTGTTTTCATGTTTTTGAAAGAGGCCTCTTCAAGGCTACATTTCTTTGGTATACAGTATAACAGTAATATTCTGAAATATTATTGCAATTGAAAAATCTGCATTAATGTAGTAGGCTTGCTGCGATAGATGGTGTTTTTGGTTATGCCGGTGTTAAGCCGCAACACTGGTTACGTCATTTGCCTAACGTGGCACCACCCCCCATCGTCATTTTGATTTTTTTTATAGAAACAAAAATAATTTAGCCTAGTTCAGTTAGAGGACAGATACTTTTAAAAACAAAACGCTCAATGCAGCGTGCCGAACCGTGGGCGAACGACAGTGCACCACGGAGCAGGAGTCAGATTTTATTTATCACGTGAGGAGAGTGAGTCGAGCTGACTGACAAGAGTGAGGTGAGAAAGACAAGACGATGGCAGAAGATTGTTTAGAAAGGAAATGCAAAGGCACCCGTTTGGCAATATTGTAGATTTTGAAAAGCCTATTGACTGGAAGTTTTGACTTATTTATTTGGTTCCACAGTGTTTGCTGAATACTTTATTTAAACTTTGTGTATTTTATTTATTTTATTTTACATCAAGGTGTATGTGCCGTGCCTCCAAGCTTTCTTATTCGTTTTGCTAATAAACGTTCTATGTTTCTTATTTATTTGGTTCCAGTGTTTGCTGATTTTCAGTTTTATATACCTATTTAAATTTTGTGTAGCCCAAGTAATTTGTTATTTTATTAGGCATATATGGTGTATTTTTATTCGTTTTGTTAATAAAAGTTAGGAGTTTGATGTTGTTGCTTGAATTGAATTGAATTCAACATCGAATTGCCGCTAATTCGAAAGTGAAAGTAAAATGCGCACAGCACTTTTACAAGCCATTTGAGAGCTAAGAAAAAAGGGAAACTCAATCGAACTAACACCCCCCCTCCCACCCCAACGGTGATACCGGTATTACCGGTGTTGTCCTCACCATCCAAATTTCCTCACCATCACAACCCTATAATATAGTTTAAAATGTAATTGATTTCTGTGATGGAAAGCTGAAATTTCAGCAGTCTTCAGTATCAAGAGAAGACTCACCTTTGATCTCCTTCAGGTTCATCGCAGCCAGAGCTTTTCCAGCTTCTGCCATATTCTTAAACTGCACAAATGCAAAACCTCGCTTCTTTCCATCTGCACAAACATGATGCCATCAAAATAAGGTGGATGGCCGTATGAAAAAAAAAATGTTAAAAAGAACCTAAGAAATACTTAAAAACAGTCAGATGCACTTGTTGGACAAACATTTACCTGGTTTTAAGGGAATCTTGGCATCCATCACTGTTCCAAACTCAGAGAAGATCTGTTTTAAATCATCTTCTTCACACTGCATATAAAGCACATCAGTTCATGAGCCAATATCACATTTCAAAAGTCAAAACTGCGCATTTATCCTTTATGCAACATCAGTATTTAGTTGACTTACCTTAAAACTGAGATTTCTGATGATCAGTCGAGCTTTCAGTTTGTTCTTCTTTATGCCTGTACTCTTTGCAGGACTTTTGGTTTCTGTTGGTTCATGCTTTGGATTCGTTTTATCTTCTGAATCTGCATGAACAGTTCAGACTCATTTATTACAGACAGAAAAAGAGTGTTAAAAACAATCCAGGAGTAAAATATAAGCATAAACAACTAACCTTCTTCTGTTTTTACTTTCTTCTTCTTTTTCTTATTATCGGGCTTTTTCTTGGCCACAGTTACAAATATCTTCTCGCCTTCATACTCTCTGACTTCTTTTATGGCCCGCTGTGCATCATCTTCCATTGAGAATGTAACATATCCAAAGCCACGACATTTTTTAGTCTCTGCAAACAACACACATTAACATTACTATTAAACCAAGAGACCACTAATACAGGAAATTTAGATCTATACATTTAATTTGACATTTGTGATACATTTTTCTTCTCGTGTTTGATGGGTCGAAAAAGAGTAGTTGATGTACACTACCCTTCTAAAGTTTGGAGTCACCATGTTTATTTAAGAAACTAATTTTTATTCAGCAAGGATTCACAAAATTGACAGTAAAGGCATTTCTAATGTTACTAAAGATTTCTATTTCAAATAAATGCTGTTCATTGACCTTTCCATTCAAAGAATGAAAAAATGTATCATGGTTTCCACAAAAATATTAAACAGCACAGCTGTTTTCAGGATTGATAATAAAAAGAAATGTTTCTTGGACATCAAATCAGCATATTAGTAGTGGTGCTGAAAATTAACTTCTGCCATTCCAGGAATAAATTAAATTTTTAAATATACTGAAATAGAGAAGTTCTATCAAAATTGCAGTATTTCACAATATTACTGTTTTACATTGACTTTTCCGGAAGACCAAATAAAGTGCTTTTGCTTTCGCACTGAAACACACAGCGTCTCCCTGACATGGCTGCATCAACACTACTGCTGATCCTGAAACAACGCCTTCTTTCTTTGCATGCACATTTGGGCGCATTATGCTAATATTTCCACATAGTGACGTAGATATGTGGGGGCGTGTTAGAACGAGCCGTTTTAGGAGGGTGTGGCTGACTCTTAACTTTTATAAAGAATATCTCTTTGGATTTGAGACTTTAGTCTTTGCAACTTTACAGATCTTCTTTATGCACCAAGAGCTTGTAACACTCCAAAGAGAAAGGAAAAATTGAAATCGCATCATATGACCCCTTTAAGTGTATTGTTCTGCTTTAACTACAGATACTTTTATGAGATTAGTTTTTAATTAAAATGTATTCTATATTAAAATCACAATATAACAAATTTTGAAAACATTATATCATGCTTTCAGTTGTTTTCAAATGCTTTTTATTTGTAGATTTTATATTTATGACCCTTGTCCCAGAGATTAATCTAAACGAAGAGTATAACAATCTCAATATGTCTTATATTTATTTATATTAAATATTATATATATTTGTTTTTTTACTCAGTTTCTTACAAAAATTGTCGTTGACCAATATTTTTGACAAGTAACGAGAGAAAGAGAGAGAGATTTGTATTACTGAAATTTTTTGTCACAAATATGATCAAGAATAAAGCACATACTTTCACTAACTCTTGAAGAAAATAAATTAGTTTGACACTCAAACCACTATATTTTAAACCCGTTCAATCTTACCTCTGTCCCCGACAACAAAGCAATTCTTCAGCGGTCCTATTTCAGAGAAAACCTCAGCCAGGTTTGCATTGGTGGCTGTTGCAGGTAATCTCCTGACAAATAAAGTGACTGCGGGCATTTTCAACACGAGTTCAGCTCGACTGTTCTTCACAGCCAGCAAACGTCTCTAAAACAGCGCCCTTGATTACAGACTCTAGCAGATGTTGTTATATACAAGTCGCGATAACATTAAAGATCTTGTCATATGAATGTCTGTAAACAGTGCGATTGCAATAAGGCACGTTTTCTCACATGTTACTGCTCTACAGGAAGTTGTCAAGGTGGAGCTTCTTCGTTTGTGTGGCACTGCGCGCTCTGGAACAACACTGACACCTGCTGGTGTGGAGAAGAAGCATTTCTGGGAAGATCTTTTCTGAGTAGCGACAATGCTGACATGTCAAGCCCAAACAAGATGCAAAATCAGCATAAAAGTAGTCCAGATGATATATATTTGTTAGCTTTGTGGAAGGGACAGATCGTTAGTCGAGAAACGGATCAACTGATTGACTAAAAAGATCCGTACGAATATTTGCATTGAACCACTTTTTTTAGTGATTTTGCGTCACCATTCCACAAAACGACACGAGGGTGCAAGTAATCACAGAACTTTTCATTTAATTATGTTTTATTATCATTATGTTTTCTGATAAAAATGTATATATTTTATAAAGGTTTTTTTTCCCCCTCCTAAATGTTAAAGGGGAAAACATCCGAACTGTGGCTAGTTCTCCGGAGAACTAGTTCTGCAAACAAGACATTGAGGTAAATTTGATTTGCATCTACTGCGTGCTAGTTAGATTTTTTTTAAATACATTTTACATATAGTTAAAAAAGAGAGTCAGATTCAGCTGCTTTTATCATTAAAGGGGTCATATGATGCGATTTCAAGTTTTCCTTTCTCTTTGGAGTGTTACAAGCTGATTGTGCATAGATAAGATCCCTGAAGTTGCAAAGACTAAAGTCTCAAAACCAAAGAGATATTCTTTATCAAAGTTAAGACTCTGCCACGCCCCCCTAAAACGGCTCGTTCTAACACGCCCCCACATATCTACCTCACTATGTGGAACTATTCGCATAATGCCGCCCAAATGTGCACGCAAAGAAAGAAGGCGTGGTTTCCGTAACCGCTGTTAGTGTTGAAGCAGCCATGTTAGAGAGACACTGTGTTTCTAGGCGAAAGCAAAAGCACTTTATTTAGCCTTCCGAAAGTAGATGCATTTAGGAATCTTTAAGATTACTTACAGTGGAGTCAGCTGTCTTAACTGTGGCTTGTGTACTGCAAACACATACCAGCTTCATCACTGTGTCTGTCACGCGACTCTGTTCCCCTTTCGGGCTCTGTCTTTACATTTATTTTGAAAGCTGAAGCTCGCGATTATGGTAAGGGGCGTTACATTTCCGACGAGTGCTTGCGGTGTTCGGCCAATCACAATGCACTGGGTCAGCTGGCCAATCAGAGCAGACTGCGTTTGTCGGAAGGAGGGACTTTGTAGAAAACGAAGCGTTTGAGAGAGGCGGGGCATAGAGGACCTACAATAATGTACAGTATTTGAAAAATAATGTGTTTTTTGAACATTAAAGCATGTCAACATATTCTGTTACACCAAATACACCAAATAATGATCTTTAAAAAAGCATCATATGACCCCTTTAAATCTTCCGAGTATATCAATGTCTTTCTGCTCTTGGTCACTAGAGGGCGACAACATCTATTCAATTATTTAATATGTTATTGCCATGATTTTGCACACTGTAGGATGCATAAAAAAATCACAGAAAAAAGTAAACAGTAATGGTAGTAATTATCAATGTTATTTTTAATAAATGTATTAATAACTTTCCATTCTACAGATATTGTTTGTGTAATTTAAATATGAAGTGCCTGACATATTATTCTATTTTCTTTAAGCTTCGCTCCATGACAGTATGTCACAGACGTCTTCCGTTTGGCTAAAATCAGTGCAGTGAAAGTGTAAACCTTGGAATTTTCTGTAAGTTTAGTACACATTGGTTAATTGTTTCAGATGTGACCAAGTCAAAATGTTTGTCTTAACACAATATAGGCTACTTTCATAGGTTAATGCTCTTTTTATTTGTGTTGGTATACCTGATCATCAGACAGACATCATGCTTTGTCCTCTTGTTCTCCTTTGTCACCCTTTCCTGTAATCCCATCTGGTAAGTGTTTTAGCCCAAAGTGTGGGTTAATCTACCTCCGAAGGACAATTCACCCAACAAGATGTGTGCGTAGTGTGTTCATTAAAAGGCTGCTGAGGGTTTCATCATCTCCAATATGGAGGGGACAAATGCATTCACATGACACAATTGTCTTTTATCTGACCTTGGAGAACAGAAAGCAATAGAGAAGAGAGAGAACTCCCCAGCAGAGCAAATGTTCTTTTAGAGAGAGTGAGGGGAGAGCAAGAGACAACAGTGGCATAGCAGAGACTGGCTCCAGGCCCAGTCACACAATCGCCCAGCAGAACGGATCTTACAGCACGCAGTGTGATGAGTGTGTTTGTGTGTTTTCTTCGGACACACCCGTCTGTAAGTATCAGCACAATTTTCTTATCATACAGTTTGCATATAGATAGTGTGCATTATTTATTTGACATCTATAAGGCCGCAAATGATGCACGAAGGAGACCGTGGTAATGCTGTGGATTGGGTTACTGCATTTCATCGGTTTAAATTTAGATTCTCTCCGCATGTGGGGGGCATCCATATAATGATAAAGTGCACTTTTTAGGCTATGATGAGAAAGACTAAATCATGTCACCATAGTGCAGGTGCCTGTGAGCTGGTACTTCGAGAAGACTGAAGGTGAACAGTCACAAAATGTTTTTACAGCATTTCACAGTAAAACCATGTGTTGCGAAAATACACTGAAAATGACAGATTTTCTATAATTAGCCTTGAAACATAACTATAATGTTTTTTGTATATTGCAAACAAATTCAGATAAAATTGCAACATTCGTAAAACGTTTGATTTAGGGTTTAGCAAACCTACATTTGGACAGAAACCTTTTGAACGGGCACATGTTTGTCATGCACATGCAAAAAAAAAAGTCAATCGGAGAATTCAGTCTGTTTTTATGTCAAACAAGTTTTATCTTTATGAAATGCTGCAATATCACAATTCATGGTCATATATTAAATCAAATTTGACCATATTTATTACTTAATGAATGTTCCTGATCTTACTGTAAATTAGTCATAATAATAATGGATTAATAGATTGATGGAATAATAATAAAGAATCATTTTAAGCAATACCCAAAAGCTAACCAATTTTTGTTTTCTTGTTAGTGATATAACTGTGTTTTAGAGCTAAAGATGTGTAAATGGTTTAGAAATGCTTATGGATAAAAGCACCTTTGTTCAATGTAAAATGAAGTACATTTTGGTATGAAAATTCAACAGCTATTGAATCACCACATTTAAAATAAACTGCCAGGCAATATGACTGTGGGTAAGGCATGTTCATGTGTAGATTCATGTTTTCATTGTTTATAGATTTATGTATTAGCGAGTTGCATTTATGATCACAGCAGGATATTGTCATGCTCCTGGTGTTGACGCAAAATCTGTAAATGGGTCATACATTTCTCTCTCTGGTGGTGCATTAAAATAAGGTTATAGGAGGGGAAGTTATGAAAGATATTTTTCTTCCTCTGATTTGAATGACAGGACTGCACATTACAGAGCCAAACACAACAGCGCTAAACACAGAGGAAAAACACACTCATATGGAGTTAGTCTATCTATCTATCTATCTATCTGAATGTAGAGTAAGGCTACATTACTGAATGACCTTGTCGGAGGACAGCAGAGCAGGACAGTGGACAGTGGGATATTGTATGAACCCAGGCTGGCAGTGTGTTGAGTGGGAGAGTTCAGACTCATGTGATGAGGGACTGATGAATACAAATGATTTCTTTTCACTGACTGAATCAACCCACCACTACAAACAGCAGAGCATTTTTATTGCCACTGTTGGTAGACAGAAAATGCTTACTAAGCTGCCCTAGTTACTTGATCTGCTTTATAAAAACAGGTTGCTAATATAGTATATAAAAGTGACTTGCTGAAACTGACATTTATTTTAGAGCTAGTAATATGGTTAGTTATATAGTTACAACATTTTTTTATAGTACCTTATTTAATAATCATAGTAATTGGAGTTTTGTAATGAATTCTATAGTCATAGTGTTCGACTGATAACTTATTGTTTGAATATGGGTCACTGGGGTGCAATGACAAAATGATTTTTTACAGTACTGGTGGATGTGAGCATCAGTGCTTTTTCTCTAATGACAGTTGTGCTGTAATGCTCTAGGGCTGAAGATCAATCATGTCTACAGTATTGCATAATGAACACATCTGAGGGACACGTGCGTCAGACAGTTGTTAATGAGTACAAGGAAAAGGTAGATGATCCATTTACAGTTGTTTTAAGTTAAGGCACAAAAATGGTGATAGCATCTTGACTGATGTACACTAGTATGAGCCTCAGTCAAGATATGTGTGTGTTTGTGTGTCTCTCTCTGTGTGTGTATCATCACAAAGAGGGATACGCTGCTGCCAAATCGTTTATACCAAAGAAAACCTATGAGACATACACAATTAGCCATAAATTCACTCCCATAGTCCCATAATGTCTTGATCACTGTTCATTATTGTGTGGGCGTTTTCCTGGGACAGAGACCATATGGAGGGTCTCAGTGGGGGGTGTGAGACTCTAGAGGGAGGGTGGGTGTTTACACAGGCGTCTTATGGGTCATCCGACATGAATCTGCATATGCTATTAGCATCATTAACAACTCACAACTTGCTATTACAATGACTAATGAGTATTCGCTGTAGATGAGAGGAAAAATCTCATCTTAAACTGAATGAACCACATTCCCATAAGCCTAAGATACTTTAAATGTGACACTTCGAATTATGTTTCATTGCATTGATGGCGTCGGCAAGATCAAAACAAAGAGCGACTGTTTCTGTGAGTATCTCGAAACATCGAGTTGTTATCGAACAATGTCAAATAGCCTACATATAAGAGAATAATCGCTATTTATTCTAAACATTAGTGTTTCCTTCACTGCTTGAATTTTCAGGGCCATAGCAAACGGAAACTAATTTTACCCGTTTGTGGATGTGAGTTTGCAGCCTCTGTTAATAAGATAACAAGATATTTTTAAAACACTGGGTATCGCGAAATAGCGACATGAAACTGATTCCCGAATTAATGATTCTTCATGAGCTGGTTCTTTTTAGTAAATCAAAAGCATACAGCAGCAACAGTGAATTT